CAGTGCCTTGCAAACATGCAGAAGGAGCCTACCCCTGCATGTGTCTGCATTTTTAAGCCCTGATGCGTTTGAATGCAGAGTAGATTTCTTGTTTTAGTATGTGTGGATTTCGTGTGGGCGTTGTTTTAGATATCTTGCCACTCTGCTGCTTGCAAACCAAGTTTTTCTCACTCTGCTTTTTTTTTCTTCTCCCCCATCTCTCTTTCAGTTAACCCCAGCTCTGTTTTCATCCATCTGGATCGTCTGGACCCAGTTGACCGCATATGAAAAGTCCATAAAAAGGAAAAAGAAAAGAAAAAACACATGACAGAAATTCAGATTAACCGGCTGTTGTCATGAGAACTGGAATGTATTCTGTCATTTTTGACAGGGGGAGCTTCAACCACATCTTTATAATGAGACTGCTTTTTTTAGAATCATTATTGAACTCATTTAAAGTCGTTTGCAAAATGCTCCTTTTTTTCCGTAGAAACCCATACAGTAGAAAAACACAAAGCACAGCTCATATAATAGGATTGTTATATTTCTATGGGTATTGTAGAGGCACATTATACAGGGTGTCCTGTAAATGTATGAACAGAGTTTTAGAGTGGGAGATTTTATCCTTTCGAGCCTTTGTCGTGGATGTTTTATCACACTAAATATAGACATCCCAGCTTTACAGAACAATGTGAAATGTATTTCTTCTCACAGTTCAATATTCAGGACATTAAAACAAACATACAAAAATGCTATGATGTTTTTGTCTATTTATGTCTTACCTCAAAACCTGCCTGACTCAGATTCGAGTATCTCATGGGGACTGTAAGAGAAAAAAGATCCAGAAAACTTCAACTTCAGCAATCTTTGTGTTTATGCACAAGTTATTTGCTGTGAATTTTGTGACTAAATATGCAAGCCCTATTATGTGCATACAACAATTCTGATATTAATAAATTGGTTCCAGAGAAACCACCTCCTTTGGTAGCCACCAACAACCTTCAGCCTCATTTCTATTGGAATCTTCAAACCCTCCTCATCGACCTTAATGTCTTTCCCAAAAGGCATTGTTATCATCCATGGAGGATGTCCCACTTCCCACTTGGGCTTGAATCTGTTCTTGATCCCTTTCCTCTTAGTCCATTTTCATACAAAAATGGCTTCGCAGTGTTAAGTCAAAGGTGTTTATTTAGCATGTTTTCACAGAAAGTATAACAATGTGCTGCTTTCCATTCAAAAACTGAAAATCTATCAAAATTAAGCGCTATGTTTCCTGCAGAGGTCTGAGCGCCAAAGACAAAGTAATTATATCAATAAATTTCTCATAATTGTCTTTTCTCTTTGTGTGAGTTTTTCAAATTAAAATGGGACGAGCACGTAGGACGGCCTTACGTACATACAGTGGTGTCAAAAGTACACACTTTTGTTACTTAAGTAGAAGTATAGATACTGCAGTTAAAAAACACTCTGGTAAAAGTTGAAATATCAACTTGACCTCTTTACTCAAGTAAAAGGGAAAAAGTATGTGCTCAAAAAAACACTTAAAGTATAAAAGTATAACGTAACCTTAAAAAAAAAAAAAACAGCCAGATGCCACTATATGAATTGAAAGCTCAATTTTTTTTTTACTATTTTAAAAAAATTCTTTGAGATAGGGCCATGGATGAGGGAGATTTGTTGGTCTCCATCTCCCGATACGCTCGCGCCATGCGTCCAACCTTTTAGACATTTCAACATCTTTTTCTGAATCCGACATTGTAGCATGGCATAGACAATTCACGTTTGCAGTTTTAAGAACACCTGCTTGCTTCTGATGATTTCCTTTAGCTAACCAATGAGTTTTTTGTTTATATAACTCATGCAATTACACTAGTTTTCACTAGATGTGGACGATGCCAATGATCTGCATCGGATGGCGCACAGGACGGGAAATATATATTTATAAATATTAAAGAGTAACGAGTAACATTTGTTTTAAAAATGTAAGGAATAAAAAGTACAGATACTTGTGTGAAAACATAATGAGTAGAAGTCAGAAGTAGGAAGAAAAATAACTAATGGAGTAAAGTATAGATACCTAAAAAGTGTACTTAATTACAGTAACAAAGTATTTGTACTTCAAACTTGACACCTCTGCGTACATATATCACCAGAATGATTGACACTTAGCAGTACCACTTGTTATGATGATCCACCCAGAAAAAGTACATCCTCCACTATACCTTTAAGCCATAAAAAAGGCCTATGGACTGAAAATATGAATCTGGTTTGTCTCAAAGTGACCCCTTTGGCAAATAATTTGTTTAATAAGACTCTTAGGCACATTGTTTTAAGCAGCCTTTAACAATTCAAATTTGTCACACAGACAGTTTGTTCTGATTTCTTCAGCTGAATTTATAAAGATAATAAATATTCAGGTTTTGCTCTGTCGGTGTTTTACTGAATTACCTTTAATATTTTCTAGAGACTTACGTTCCTGGTAATGTATTTACACAGACAGTCTTATTTTAAGTCATGCAGTACACTACACTGCAAAAAATTTAAATCTAGAGTATTTTTTTTTAAATATGTGCACTTTGTCTTGAATTGAGGGGGTAGGTGAGACAGTATACAAGACAAATGACGTTTAAATAAGAGCAAATATTGTCTTATTTCAAGGGCATATTATCTAATTACCTTATTTTAGGGGTAAAAAATACTCAGTCCATTGCCAAATCATCTCATTTACCTACTCATATTAATGGTAAGACATTTAATTATTTCTAGATCGCTTTTGCAGTGTACCTCGTATACTTTAAATTACATTTCACCAAAAAAAACTAAACCCAAATTAGATAATTACATCTTATTATCAATGCATCAAATATATCACCTTTTGTTTTGTACACTGACAGCCGTATATTTCAGAGGGACTGTAGTTTACAAGTGCATGTGGACTGGTCTGAAATCAATCTTTCAGGGAACCCCAAAGCCAACTATCGCCTCTATCCACAATGTAATGGTTAATTTGTTTCCCAGATGCTATTATCTTATCCCATATTTCAGGTTTTAATCCAATATGAGTGTGACTCCATGTTTTGAATAATTTCCAGCAGATAAAACCTGCTCCTCCTGCCTCTATATTGTAAATTCTCTTCATGTACATTTTTAAAAATGTGTCTGTCTTCATCTGAGGTAAGTTCTTTATTTTATTTGGGGGTTTTTTTGTGCTTCTCTACACTTAACAAAAGAGGCTTTCTCTGAATCTAAAAAAAAAGAACAAAACTGCAGATTCTACATGGAAATGGGGACACAATTACCTACTGTGCCACAGGTGCATTGTATTAACATTACCAATGAAAATCTTTAAACTATAATCATTCCGGATGTCTCATCTAAAAGCCTTTAATGGAGAGGTAGCTGCAATTATGTTAGAAAGCTGTTGCACTCATAATCATAAAGTAATATGGTGGCCCAAAAGTGTACAAAGTTGTTTTTAAACATTCTCACCTGATATTGGGACTCTATGAAATATAAAAGGGCTAAAAATTAATAAGTGTTTTATTGTAGCAGAAAAATCGCTTAAAAATCCAGGCCCTCATTTAACAAATATTCAGTGCATGGAAGAAATTGCACACATTCTCAATAGTATTACTTAAGACACAGGTATTTGGCTTTTTGGCTGACCTACTTTATACAATCACCTAGTCCCAATATGATACCAGTTATTCTCACATTAAACTCTACAATGGTACAATGAATAGAATGGGACATTTAACCATTCCCCTTTGCACCAACTTTGCCTCCCCTCAGTTTTTATAGAGGTTTTATGTCTTGGAACTAAGATGGTCATAAAAAAGATTCTGATTGACTAGCTCTGTTTTGATTATGGCTTTTACTTTTTTTATCATTATCATACTGAAAGATCAACTTAGGACCAACATAAGGTCTTGTAGAAATATTGTTTTATTGTTAATTAAAATATAGATTGGATATATATATATATATATATATATATATATATATATATATATATATATATATATATATATATATATATATATATATATATAATAAGATAAGATAATATGTGTACGTCAATGAATGATTACACCGGATACTTTTTTTTCCACTGGGGAAACAGGCCCACAGTGTCACAGGTCCTACACCATATTTGAAAGTGGTTTATCCATATTTTTAGGCTTTTATTTGTGATATAAATCTCAGAGCTTATCTGACTAAAGCACCTAGTTTCACTTATTCTCCCTCTATGTCAACCGATGCAATGATCAAAACACAGTTGGCATCTATTGGTTGTTATGGAGGCTTGGTGATTTAAGTCACTCTTCGTTGACACTCTCTAATAGTGAGACAAGGTAATATTTTTTATCTCCCTTACTTAACCTTGCTTCTCTTTGGTTTAAAATCTAAGATAATGGAGAATGTGTATAACTAGAAAAATAGGCTCCAATTTATGTAAATAATAAAAAAAATTTGTTACATTATTTTAGGGTTTTGCTTTTTTTTAAACACGTCATGCGAATCAGATAAAGATGCATTTTAACGGGAAAAGAGAAAGAAATTGAAAGATTATGAGTAAATGTGAAGAACAAGCAATCACAGGCTTTCATAAAATAGGAAAAGAAAAAGTACATTGCAGTAGAAACAGGGTGACATTTGTTCCAGTGTTTTTGTTGTTGTTGTTTCGGCACACAACCTGCAAAAAAGATCGAGAGCTCTTTTTATTCAACACCTGTTTTCACTCTCTGTGGTTAAGGTGCCAACATTTTACCTGCAATGCTAATATTTTGTTTCTTTTTTTTTGTATCTTATACAAGAATTTATATTGAATTATAAATGTGCAGTAAATAACAGTTTTATGTATTGGCTGTTAGCAGCCCTTTCATTTTTATTGGCCGTTAAAGTAAAATTCTGTACTTTTTAGTACTGGGTCACAAAGTTTTGGACTTTCCCTGCATGTTTGGTTTAGTCTTGTTGAAACAGTGTGTCCTTGAAAAGCCACTGTGAAGAACAGCTTTTTATTTACACAAAAAGTAATGATTGCACCAAACAGTTTATTCCTTTAAATGACAGTCATATGCAAGTGACCAGTACTGAAACGGACCTACGGAGCAGTTTGGTTGATACTTAACTGAAACATAGCAGTAAGTCTCCCTACCTGCCAAATTGATTAATCTGCATTTTCTAATGTATTTAATCACAGTACTCTTGTTTTCTTTAGAAATGAAGTTCCATCATGCTGCTGCTTTTCTCTTCTTGGCATCCTTCTGCCATTGTGCTGTGTCCTGTCCTGCTTTGTGCAAATGCTACAGCGAAAGAAAGGAGGTTGTATGCAGTGAGGTTCCCCTGATAGAGTTCCCAACAGAGGGCCTTCCGGAGAACACCACCATGCTGACTGTTCAGCTCACAAACATCACCTCCCTCTCTGAACACCACCTTAAAGCAACACCACATCTGCAAGAGCTCCATCTGTACGGGAATAAACTACAGAGCCTTTCTTCTCATCTGCTCAGAGGCGTTCCTCAGCTGCACACATTGGATCTGACAGAAAACAAGCTCAGTGATCTTCCTGTAGATGTCTTCAGCGATGCACCGCTTAAAAACTTGGTGTTAAAGAACAATCAAATTAAGCGAGTCGATGAAAAATGGCTTCCTGATAATAGCAGCTTAACCTGGTTGGACTTGTCTGGAAACAGTCTAACAGAGATATCAGTTGGTTTCTTTCAGAGGCTCCCTCACCTCGAGAATCTTGACTTGTCCAACAATCAACTGGAAAAGATACCGGCAAACTCTTTGGAAAATCTGAGCAATCTCAAGAGGCTGAGCCTTCAAAACAACAAGCTTGAGTCCTTAGACGCATCTGTGTTTCAGCACACAAAAAACCTCACTTCTTTGTTTCTCACTCAAAACAAGCTGAACTGGCTCCCACAAAACCTTTTTCAGGGACTTACCAGCCTCACACATCTCAGTCTGGATTTCAACCAGCTGAGCCACATCCCTATAGGTTGGTTTGATCCGCTGAGCTCCCTCGAGGAGAGTGGACTGGACCTGACTCTTAACCCCCTGCGTTGTAACAGCCGTATTGAATACCTGTGGAGATGGCTTCAGAAGAACAAGAAGAAGGTGTTGTCGGTAGACAACATCATCTGTATGTTGCCTCAGTCTCTCACAGGGCACCCAGTCATTTCCCTGACAGAAAATGATCTTAACATAGGGTCTTAATCCTCCTGGGGCTTGTAGTGATTTAATGTATACAAGTAATACTTCAGAACTTTTTGTGATCCTGTTAAACTATAAGTTAGTAAAGCCACATGAGAAGAAAAACAGTGGCTGGAGCTAAAGTCTAGTCTGATAGGAGTTTGAAGCAGACCTGTACCCCTTCAAACAACTTAAGTCTTTAAGATACCAAAGCTAATTATTGCATGTTAATACTACTTAATGTGCCTTTATAAGATGATGTTTGATCAATTGGTCATTTAAAACAAATCTATAGTTTTTTTTGTTTCTGCTCTACTCAGGATATTTCCATATAAAACCTAAATGTAATGAGCAAAGAATTTTCAATTATACTGTGTTACTAGTAGTAAAGAAGTTTAAAAGTAACTGTAACAGGAAGAACTCTAGATGTTAGTTCTTATTGGATGCTTCGACACAGGATCATTGGAGGTTCACTGTCCATTTTCCTGTAAAAACAATTACTGGCTTTAGTGTTAATTTCTGTAATGTAAAGATTCATTAATTCATATGAAAATTTCTAAAACATTTTGATGTAGAGTTAACTTTTTAATCTGGACATAAAGTTATTCAATCTGTATGACATTTTAGTAAAACCTTACTTCTAACATCTGTGTTAATCCCTTAAGCATCAATTTTATCAATAAATACCTGATTAGATACGGTTTGGAAGTCAGTCTGTTTATTTGTGGATAACTTTTTTTTAAGTCATGTTTTCTGAACACACACACACACATATATATATATATATATATATATATATATATATATATATATATATATATATATATATATATATATATACATATATGTATATAAATATATATATGTATATATTTATTTTTATTTTTTTTTAGAACATATTTTAGAAATATTTATTATCAATATTAAGAAACTCTTTAAAATACCAATTTTAGTGAAACAAATCTATATATTGTTAAAGTAAATATAAATGTAGTTCCAGAAACAACTTTATGTATCTACATATGTGTTTAAAGGTAGATCTGTCACAAGTAAGCAAAGCAAAGTTTTAGTCAAAAGATTGTGTCTATTTTATTAAAGAAGGCAGACTAGGATTAACCTAACCATGCACATGTCAAACACATTTCTATATTTGATAGGTGCATGACAGTGGTTCTGAAATCTAACATAATCAGCCTTAATTAAGAACTTATTTTCAACATGTGGTCAGATAAAAAAAAAAAAGCTGAGAATATGATTTTAGCTTTTTTGTTTTTTTAAATTCAACCTTAAATTACACATTAAAGTATAAAAGCATGAGGTGTTATGTTGTTACTGTTACCCAAACATCCCTGGTATAATAAGAAAATATATGAATTACCATATTTACTTTGTCCATGATTCTCATTTGCTGTCAAATGTTTGCAAGAAGAAAATGTATGCATTGACATGTTCAGAGGGTTATTCTGAGATAGTGTGGAAAATATATTGATTTGCAGAGCGACATTTTAGCTGTTACAAAGTACAGCAAAATAGTATCCACTTTATTTACTCTGCTCTATTTGTTTTTTGCAACGTTTCATCCTGAATCACTGAGATACACTCAGACTAGTGCAAAAAAAACAGCCCATAGTTGGAAGCAGAAGGTTCCTGCTACTCTGTTAAGGTAGGAATACATTAAAAAGAAAACATTTATGATTAAGCATTGTTTCATACTTAAAGTTGTTGTTTTTTTCTCAGTGTTTCTCTACAGACATGAAGTTGTTGCTCCTTGTCACCTTTTTTGCACTACCTGACTTTGACTACAAACGAAGAAGTGTACACTCGTGTCCAGATCGGTGCTCCTGCTCTTTTCTGTCTGCTGAGGTGGTATGCAGCAATGGTGGCCTCACAGTTTTTCCAAGAACTGGGTTTCCTTCCGCCACCACAATATTGTCCATCCAAAACACAAACCTTCGTAACATTACTGGTGGGGATCTGAGTGCCGTGCCACTCCTAAACAACCTACAGCTGTATCACTCTAACCTGGCGAACCTTACCTCAGATCTGCTGGTATCCGTACCTCACTTGGAAACTTTGGATCTCACAGGAAACAAGCTAGTAAAACTGCCTGCAAATGTCTTCACCCACCGCTCACTTAGCAACCTGGTGTTGAAAAATAATCAGCTAGGGGAAGCAGACCCAGCGTGGTTTTCTCAAAACAGCAGCCTCCTCTATCTAGATTTGTCTGGTAACCGTCTGACCAGCATCTCTGCAGCTCTGTTCAATAAGATGCCCCTTCTGCGAACCCTAGACTTGGACAATAACAATCTGCAAGAGCTACAAGCTGAAGTGTTCAGGAGCCTGGATCACCTAGAGACTCTTAATCTCGCTGGAAACAAATTGATAACCCTGAAACCTCAAATATTTGCTCACAATCTTAAACTCAAATATCTGTACCTGCAGGAGAATCAGCTGCAGGATCTACCAGCGAACCTCCTGCATAGACTGCAACACCTTGAGCTTCTGCTGCTAAACCAGAATCAGCTTCGCCACCTCCCAAAAGGCCTACTGGATGGGATAAATCCCTCTTTGCAAATAATCTTGTCAGGGAACCCCTGGGATTGTGATGGGAAGATGGAGTACCTGTGGAAGTGGCTCACCAACCATCGCCAAAATGTTCTCTTTGACGATGAAGTGACTTGTGATCAGCCAAAGCCACTGAAAAGTCTACAAGTTTCCTCTTTAACTGAAAGTCAGCTTGGTGTAAGATTACAATAAATTGTGTAATGAGAAAATATTGAGAGGTAAATAATTGAACTTGGTTCAATTTGGTTATATCACAAAAAAAGAATACTTTTTAGTTCCTGCAGAAAGGTAATTGACATGTATTAGTTTTGATTAGTATGATGCTGCTGGGTTATTGTGCTGAAAGAGTAAAGTTTAGTTTTACTCCTGCTCGGTCTGATGTATTCATTGTTCACAATGATGCAACTGGTTCTTAAAAAGAATACATACTAACATACTGGTTGATGATTTTCACTACATAGTTTACTTTGAAAGATAATTGCACCTTTATTTTATTTAGTTTTTAATTTTACTTTATTTAGAGGTTAATTATAAATGAAAATTCAAATTATTAATATTTTTTAACCAAAATGACGTAATTATGTTATAGGATATAGCTCACTCTGGTTGCATACAGAGCTTCTGTGGAAGATAAACATGTGTTGCGGGTGTATGATTTGTTTTGGGGTAGTCCTTCCTGTAGATTTACAGAGGTATGATAGTCCACAAATGGACAGGAAGCAAATAAGGGAGTACCGGGGATTGGTCAGTTAGCACCTTCCATCAAAATTGCGAAAATAGGTAAGAAAAGTCTAAGATCCAGAGCGATAGTCCGCAAACAAATATTTTATTCCAGTAGTGATAGTCACTGATGCTGGGACCAAAGCTGTGGAGGAACTCAGATGTCGCCGTGGAGGTGAGTAAACGTCCATATTAACACTAATACTAGTGATAGCAATGATAATCTTTGTCTCTACAGTACATGGTATTTGCCTATTTTAGAGCTCATATAAATATGACAAAATTAAATGCCCGCGTGATTAAAGTAGCAAAAAGAAAAAAAAAAATTTTTTTTTTATGTTGTTGTTTTTATATTGTTAGTTTTGGGTTTTTTGGAAGGCAGACTGCTTTGGTTCTCAGCTGCGGTCCTTGGATTGGCTGCCGGATCAGTTTAGGACAAACAGGGAACGGTTGCCATTCAGGTGGTTCACTGTGGCTCAGGTGACTCAGGGGAGGAATTTCAAATATTAAATAGTTCTTAGGATCCTCTCTGCTCACTTTTAGGAACAGAGCCAGTAGCTTTAATGGGAATGGCATAAAGTGGCTTTGGAATTCTGCTGATGTTCTCTACAAGCTTCTGCTTCAAAGGAATGATGAGGAAATGGTAGGTAAGCAGGCTCTGCAGGCAAGGATGCAGCACAATATGGTTCAGTTGCATGTACCTATAGCTTCCTCTTGCTTTTAATCACTTATGGTGGGATGTCAAAACTGAATGGAATGCTGGGAGCTGTTTCTACAGTTTATAATATGGGTGTTATTGCAAAGGGATCTAAATATATACTGTTTTTAATTTTTATTTATGTCCTAAAAGGTGTCATTTTCATCCCACTACTAAAAAGGTTTTGGTCCATTCTGCGGTTGTATGCACAGTGATCACTACAATGTACAGTTGTTTAAAAGTGCTTTCTTCAATTTGGACCACCTATGTATGTAGTCCAATCTAGTGGATGTTATTGCATCATCCCTACAGAAAAATCCCATTTGCTGATCATTGAAATTTCAGTGAAACCAAGATAGCAGACACAAAGACCAAACAACTTGGCTATTTCAGTTTCTGCAGGGAAGAGGGACCACCATTTTAACAGAATTCCATGTTACAACTAGAAATCTAAATTACAACTACATTACAACAACTAAATTGCAACTAATTTGTTGTTATATCGATTTTGTTTTACAGTATAAAATGCATAAAGTGCACTTGAGTGGACAGATAAATATTTCTTTATAAAATAAAGATTAGAATAAAATCAAACACTGCTTTACATCCCTAAGGATGTATAAAAACACAAAAAAATCCTGAATGAGTTTATCATAATTCATGCATGAGAGGGTTAATACAAAAGCTTTTTTAGTTATCTGTGGTAATTAATGGATCATTTTCATGCTAATCTTATTTGATCTGTAAAATGGCTAAAGAGTTGCATTTTTTATATTCAAAAACTAAATATAGTAAAAAAAATTTAAAAAAGCAGTAGTAATGAGCTGTAATAAAGCCTTGCATATATTAGTGAAGAATTGCTTGAACATTAAGCTCTCTTAAGATTCCCTGTAGATAGTCCTGGAGTGCAGCGTTACAACAACAGATCTGTCTAACTCAGCTGTATCACAGATTGCTGCATTTTTCCATGATGCCCTTTTGTTTTTAATGATGCTCAGTATGTGGGTGTGTGTGTGGGCAATGAAAATGGCTGAGTCTTGAAACTGACCTCTCCTGGATGTGCTTAAATGTCTCCCTCTTTCTATTTTCTTTTGCTCTTTTCTCCCTCAACTTGTATATTTGTACATTGTATGTGTGGACAGACTGATCCTGGAGACTTGCTCACAATGAGGTGTGCAGGACTCCCTTAAAAACTCTCATAAAAGATTAATTATTGCAGTCTCTTCATACTGGTACATAAAAAGGAAACAGCTCCCCAAAATGCAAAAAGAAAACCTGATATGTTTGATGTGTCTTTCTTTATGTTTGTGTTAATTGTATTCCGAGAGTTAAAGGTAGAGGAAGTGGGCTGGATGGTTGAAATCCTAATTGCCTTTTATTAGAACTCCCTCTGGATTTGAACATCTGTTTTGAGTAAAGTGAGTGTTTTCCTCTTTCCTTAGAACCCCTGTAACTTCCCCTTAAGTAGGACATTTAATCTGTTTGTGCTTCTCCAAACCCCAGGAATGGACATCTGAGTGGACAACTCTGTCTTTATTGGATAAATTACAGTCACCAGTATACAGGTATGGTGTTTTCTGGATGGCAGTCTGTGCTTTGGTATTTGTTAATAATTACTGAATAACAGAGAAATCTAAGAGGTATTAGGTAAATCTTTCAGGGATTTATTTTATTTAATTTTTTTGCAATGAAGCATTCTAGAGTTGGACCTAAGAGCCCATTTTTTCTGCCCTGGTGGGATTTGTGCTACAACCCAGCTGTTGCACCACTGAGGGGGCAAAAGGGGAAAAATGGCAAGACCAACTATTTTACTGGCCTCCATGGCCAGACAGTCCCATATATCCATAAAAGTTTCTGTCAATTTAGATAATAATTGAAATTAGTCAGCAATTTGCAATAATTATTTATCTAGATCAAAAAGCTTTGTGTTTTTATATTAAATGCCTCTTTCTGAATGTCTGTCATCCACTTCTGGCTCACCCTCAGGTGGTATTTAGATCATATAGGAGAGTCACATTCTAATTTTAACATTTTAAATCATGAGCATGAAATTCTTAATATTTTAAAACAAATAAGTTTAAAGAAAATGCACTCGTCAGATTTTTGGTATTTGATAGCATGAATCTAGTAGGTATTTGTCAAATATCTAACAAGAAAACTTTTTTTCCTTAAGAATTAGATTCGTTTACCTTTGCTTTGCCTGTCACAAGATTATCAGTGCATATTACAAAATATAACATGAGGTTGATGTTGTTGCCTCAATGTTAGACCTCTGACCTACCAAAGGAGAATCTCTTTTGATATATCTGATTCTGAAACAATACACTGTGAGGATACATACATATCTTTTTTTATTTTATTTTATTTTTTTTTAAACATGGTAACAAGGATACTAAAGCCACTGCCTCATCTGTTATCCTTTGCAGACCCTCAGTCTGCACCAATGAAATTAAATTCAATATTGCTTACTGAATGCGTGAAGTTACAGAAATGTAGGTTTTGAGATATTTTTAATTAATTTTATATCATAACTGCTCAACCTCTAGAGGGCACTCTTACCCTGGGTATGTAGCAAAATGGGACTTTTTAGATTGACAAATCAGATATAAACTCATAGTTTAATGTAAATGGAAATAAGAAAAAACAAAATGTTCTTAAAGGAAGGTCACATCAATCCATCAACTATTTTAAGCACCACCTGGTGTGGTTTCAAAGATGAAGTGAAAAGGACACTAAAATGTGCTCTTATGGATAGACACAGGTAATACACTAATTGGTCTAAACAGAGGCTGTGTAATACGTCAGCTGATAACTATTAACAAAGAAAACTCATTTACAAAAGCACACCTACAAGACAAAAAATGATTTTGTATCTTCTGCACTGCACCCTTTTCCCTTCATCATTGACATTTCTTCGGTCAAACTAACCTTTTAAAGTTCAGCTAAGGCTGCAGTTAGAAAGACGTTAGATTCATTAAAAGCTATCCTTAAGGTAGGCGAGAAAAGTCACACCGCTTCTGCTTTTAGAAGCTTGAGGCTATTATTATGAAACACTTAATCCCCATAAAACGTTCCAACAAAGCCTTTTAAAGCTTTTCACCCACAACTGTGAAGACACAGGGTATCAGACTTGCAAGTATTGCTGCTTGCACATAATCAATATATATGAAGGTGAGTGGATGGAAGGGATGATAACAAGCTTTCAAATGCATCTTCCTTTATCATAATCTTTCAGAAATGTTACAAATCTTATTTCCCCGTCTCATAAATCTTTGCTCTACATAATGACACACATGAGGAAAGATGTGCTATTGCCTTTGTACATTATCTCATTATGGGAAAGGGGAGCAGAGGTTCCCTTGCCGTGTAACCAGTTCTTGTAAATGGCATCTCAAAGTCTCCAAGGATATAAGCTGTTATGGAGCTTTTTGGTGATGGGTGTTACATTTAATAAATTGAAGCAATTTTCATGGAAGTTTTTTTTTTAACCTGAGAGGCAAAATTCAAAGACACATCTGTTTATTAACCAGAACATATATTTACACTAATTATAAGAAATAATTGACCAAGGTTATTTAATTACCGTACACTTTTTCTCAAGTGCTTTATTTCATTTGCTGAGACCTGGTTTAAGTCTATCAATTTCTTTAAACTTATATTTCAACAGTCTTATCTGTTTACAAATCCCTTTGGAACCTTTCTCATCACATAGACATTCCTGGGCTAATAGCAATTAGTTGGACCTGTATAAAAGTTGACACCTTCCACTTGTTCTAAGCAAGAAGGTTGAAGGAGAAAAGTGCAAGTGCCATAAGAGGCTATCTTGCGAGAGAAGATATCTAGTGCAATGTCGATGCAAATCTTTGGCCTGATCTTCAGGAACGCATGCAGTAGATAGGTGCATTTGCTATTATGAATTTATTTTTGGCCAGGACTCGCTTGAAAAAGAGATTATTAATCTCAATATGACTTTCCTGGTTAAATAAAAATGTGTTATTTATGTTGTATTTACAACACATATATTTTCATTCTTGTTCCCAGTGCTCCACTGATGGTACTGAAGATGTCAGTTTAAAAAATAAAGCTCATTGTGCGTGGTTCAGTATGCTGTACTATAATGCTTATTTCACAAAGCTGGCATATTACAATATAAAGTATACTCTACTGCAAGCTCATAGCAAATTACCCTGACCAAAGAATTGTGTAAAAAAAAAATAAAAGAACAATATAGTAAAAAAAGTAAAGGAATTCGATAAAAACTATATATGTATGTTAAAATATATTGCCTACATATTTACTGTTTCAATATGAAAAATGTCATGTTTGAGGCAGTGAAAACATCTACAGACTCTGGTTATTAATTTTTTTATACAATGAACCGTAAATGTTCACAGCAGTGAGAACGGCAGTCACTGGGAGCAGAACTTAGAAGCTTGAGCTGCAGTGAGATATGAATGAATGCAAACATTCTGTCACCTGATCAGAGTTTGGTTATTTTGATTAAAATAGTTGTTTTTTAAGAAAATAATTTAAGAGTTCTAATAACAGAACATTTTGCCAAGGAAAGCCTTTGTTTTGAGAACCTGAAATCCTGCTTGGAGGTTATGTGCAACCTGTTTTGCAAATGACATTTCTGAATGGTGAAATGTTCGTAGCTATTGTGAAAAACTGAAAAGATCATGGGCTGCTCAGTGGCGCAGTGGGTAGCACTGCTGCCTTGCAGCAAGAAGGTTCTGGGTTGATTCCCGGCCTGGCGTCTTTCTGCATGGAGTTTGCATGTTCTCCCTGAGCATGCATGGGTTCTCTCTGGGTACTCTGGCTTCCTCCAACAGTTAGGTTAATTGGCTTCTCTACAGTCCCTTTAGGTGTGAGTGGTTGTTTGTCTCTGTGTTGCCCTGCGATGGACTGGCGACCTGTCCATGGTGTATCCTGCCTCTCGCCCATTGACTGCTGGAGATAGGCACCAGCACCCCTCGCGACCCCACTAGGGATAAGCGTGCTAGAAAATGGATGGATGGATGAAAAGATCATGGGAAAATGTAGATATATATGTAATCAAGCACAATAGTACAGAGGGACATTGTAGAAGAAAAGGGTCAGAAAATAATTAACTTTTTTTTTTTGCATTATCCTGAGAAATGTACTCATAGAACAAATAGTGTTTATTTTCAATATTCATGCCATATAGTGCAAAAAAACTTGAATTGGATCAGTGTAAACTAGGCCTGCTAAAAGTCGGTTCTCAAGGGCCACTGTCCTGCAAGTTTCAGAGGTTTCCCTGGTTCAGCACAGGTTATTCTGATGACTGCAGATAAAAAGCCTGTTAATCAGCTATCAAAGGAAATCAGCTGAGCTAAAGCAGGGAAAACTCTAAAACCTGCACGACAGCAGCCCTCGAGGGCCGACTTTGGGCAGGTCACATTTAATTCAGTCAAACTAGGTGTCCCTTATTTTGTCAGACATTCTATCAAATATACTTTATGAGGGATATTTGTGATGCTTTCAAGCTTGGATAAAAGTTCAAGTACAACCACCTACAGAACTCATTTTTTAAGCCAGTTAGGTTGTTTACAAAGCCTCAAAACATAATTCATGTTGTATAAAGTAGCTTCATCTCACAATAAATTTTTTTGTAAAAACTCAAACTTTAACATGAATACAATGCTGTGTTAAGAAATCATTTTATCAATTATTGGCATACCTACCAATATTCAAACTGTTAGCAAGTTAATAATTAAAACTATACTTATTCAAGTTCCCAAGGATGTATATGAATCTTTATGAATCAGTTGTTACTGTTAGCTTCAGGCATTAATACATGACATGACACAAAGCCCTATTCTTCCTTGATACCCTTCAGAATGACAATGTTAAATCATATGTATTGCAGAATGCCTACCAAATATATCTATATAAAGAATAATATGTTGTTGTTTTTTTTCACAAGGTTTCCACCATTCACATTATATGGATTGTAAGAAGATAACCAAATTTTTCTACAGACACAAATTCTCTAAGATATCAACTGGAACAGTGTGCTTTAATCAGACACATTTAGTTAAATGGTCTTTTTTAAATTTAGAAATTCACATATATTACATCACATGTTTTTGCAATAAACACCAACATTGTACCTATGAAATAAATCTCTATTGCTGCTCATCTTCTTTGTAACAGCTCAAACACTAGAGAGGCTCATTCTCTGCATACTTTTACAGCTTTTATTTTTTGGCATTTTACCTTAGTGCAACTTAGTTTGACTTTCTTTGTTTTGAGTTGGTTTTATATTTTTAATTTACAGCAACACTGACATGATTTCTATAATTCCTATACCAATGTTTATAGCTGAAATTTGAAGATTTTTCTTCTACAATCGTATAATATTGCTGTCTTTCTACACAAATAGAGTTTTACATGTGGCAAGCATTATAAGCATGTTGAGAAATCTATTTACATCTCTGTAATAAACTTATGAATCCCTATCTGTTATAACCCCCGTAAATGACAAAGGTTCACATGGTCTCATTTATAATGGTACATTTTCCAAAGCATGTTTTTAGAGAAAAAAAAAAATCTAGCAGTAGTTTTACTGCTTATACCTTGTACTTCTATTCAAGAAGTATTACTGCTCTTACTTGAGTAACTCATCCTTATTAACAATGACAACCTTATATTTTGTCTAAATTATGAATAACCCCATTTTCACAGAGTAAACTATATATAAATTCTGCATTTAAGTAGCCATCTTATTAATTTTTTTTGTTTACTCTTTTTCTAAATTATTTTTTAAGTAACCAATTTTTACCTGTAGTTGAGTAAAATAATTTTAAACTGCCCTACTCTTACTTGGGTTCTATTTTGCCTCTTTAACTGCTTCTGTATTCACCCTTTTAAAGCATAAACCTCTGTTTAATGGGTTCAGCTCCTCATTATAGATGCCTGACTCTTATCTGCTTCTCCAGTTTCTCCTGTTCTGCCTGAGGTGCTGCCTTTGTAAAGAAGATCTAATGCAGTATATCCTACTGAGTAAAGTAAGTACAGCTAAAATATACCACTATTTCTGTATCCCTGTTTTTTTTTCTCCTTTAGTGTATGGCAGATTTACTTTCCCGTTATCATCCATATGTAATTATACACAGTGATCCATGCAGTAGGCAAATTAGATCATTATTAGAGATCATTATCTCAAGACACAAACATTACAGCAAAAGTTTTAATGTCTGTTAACATTTCATCTAAATTCAGGGAGGGGTTCTGTACCAGAATTATACCTGTTCTCATGGTTGTAGTGAAGTCACAATGAGGTGCTGGTAGGTCCCGAAACTCGTTCCGAGCATGTTCAAAAAAGGTAATGGCTCATATAAGATCATGAGTTATTATCAAGCTGTAAGAAGAAGTCATCATCCATCCATCCATCCATCCATCCATCCATCCATCCATCCATCCATCCATCCATCCATCCATCCATCCATCCATCCATCCATCCATCCACAAATTTTCTCAGAGGTTCTATACTTCTCCTTGTCTGTTCTGCAGATCCTCCTCTGGAATTAGGTAGTAAAAAAACCTTCATGTGGACGCCTCCTTCTAAATCCTTTTAGCAGCATTTCAGGTTTGCCCCTTATATGTGAACTTCCCATTCTGTATCTAAGGCGGAGTCCAGGTAACAGAGAAAGCTGATTTCAGCCACTTATATGTGGGACTCTGTTCATCCGATTACAATCCCAGTTTTAGGACCACAGGTGAAATTTGGAAAATGGGCTGACTGGCAAATTAAAAGCTCTTATTTTAGGTGTAGCTATTTCTTTACAGACCAAAGCTGTGGTCGATAAATCAGATGAGACTAGAACTCCTTCACTTGAGGAAAGGACTGATTCCCAGACCCTGAAGGATATAATTGATAATCCCATGTGTGCAGGATTATCATTTAAATCAGATTTACTGCGTGATTGGAGGCATATGAAGATAAAACAAATTCCTCCAATTTAGTCTCAATACACAAACATTACATTTCTGATAGAGAATAAAACCTTCTGTTAAGATGTGTTGGTTTATTTCAAAATTGTTTTTTAATAGCAAGTGACCTAATTTTAAATCTTATATTTTTGCACTCATCTCTATACATGACTTAAATGTGTGGAGTTGAAATATGAATCTGTCTTCTGAGGTGAGAGTGCTTCATTTGTTATAAGAGGAATATTTGCATCTCAATTTACCACATTTTACCACAGCAGCTCAAACAGCAGCTGGAGGCTGCAAATTTTCATTCTGCAAATCATTTCACTTTTAAATGTAAACACTGCATGATCCAACTCCTTTGGTAGAGAATCATTTTAAAGGTTAATATGATTTTTACATACACTATATTGCCAAAAGTATTTGCTCACCTGCCTTGACTCACATATGAGCTTAAGTGACATCCCGTTCCTAATCCATAGGGTTCAATATGACGTCGGTCCACCCTTTGCAGCTAGAACAGCTTCAACTCTTCTGGGAAGGCTGTCCACAAGGTTTAGGAGTGTGTTTATGGGAATTTTTGACCATTCTTCCAGAAGCGCATTTGTGAGGTCGCACACTGATGTTGGACGAGAAGGCCTGGCTCTCAGTCTCCGCTCTAATTCATCCCAAAGGTGTTCTATCGGGTTGAGGTCAGGACTCTGTGCAGGCCAGTCAAGTTCATCCACACCAGACTCTGTCATCCATGTCTTTATGGACCTTGCTTTGTGCACTGGTGCACAGTCATGTTGGAAGAGGAAGGGGCCAGCTCCAAACTGTTCCCACAAAGTTGGGAGCATGGAATTGTCCAAAATGTCTTGGTATGCTGAAGCATTCAGAGTTCCTTTCACTGGAACTAAGGGGCCAAGCCCAGCTCCTGAAAAACAACCCCACACCATAATCCCCCCTCCACCAAACTTTACACTTGGCACAATGCAGTCAGACAAGTACCGTTCTCCTGGCAACCGCCAAACCCAGACCCGTCCATCAGATTGCCAGATGGAGAAGCGCGATTCGTCACTCCAGAGAACGCGTCTCCACTGCTCTAGAGTCCAGTGGCGGCGTGCTTTACACCACCGCATCCGACGCTTTGCATTGCACTTGGTGATGTATGGCTTGGATGCAGCTGCTCGACCATGGAAACCCATTCCATGAAGCTCTCTGCGCACTGTTCTTGAGCTAATCTGAAGGCCACATGAAGTTTGGAGGTCTGTAGTGATTGACTCTGCAGAAAGTTGGCGACCTCTTCGCACTATGCGCGTCAGCATCCGCTGACCCCGCTCCGTCAGTTTACGTGGCCTACCACTTCGTGGCTGAGTTGCTGTCGTTCCCAAACACTTCCATTTTCTTATAATACAGCTGACAGTTGACTGTGGAATATTTAGGAGCGAGGAAATTTCACGACTGGATTTGTTGCACAGGTGGCATCCTATCACAGTTCCACGCTGGAATTCACTGAGCTCCTGAGAGCGACCCATTCTTTCACAAATGTTTGTAAAAACAGTCTGCATGCCTAGGTGCTTGAATTTATACACCTGTGGCCATGGAAGTGATTGGAACACCTGATTCCAATAATTTGGATGGGTGAGCAAATACTTTTGGCAATATAGTGTAATACAAGCCTAGGCTAATAGTAATTACCAAGCTAAATATCATCCACTTCATAAACTATCACTGAAAAAATGGTTGGTGGGTCATAAGGTCAGATCCATCATCTTTTGTGTCACAAGACTAGGCTTGTCCCGATCCGATCCACGTATCGGATCGGGACGCCGATATTGGCAAAAAAATGCGTATCGGCAAAGCATGTAAAATGCCGATCCAGACTGCCGATCCAGTTTTTTTTTTAAATCGGGTCCGTATTTTCCAGTTTCGCCGATTGAAACGATCCATTCCACTATTTTGCGCCAGTGTTTCCCTGTTTTGCATTTTTATTAAAACTTACAGTAATAATTGCACCTTTAACTGTTTACGGTTTTACTGTTCACTGTACAATTTCAGATTGCTATTCATAATTTTGTCCAGTTTGTGTTTATCTCTTAATAAACAGGTAAGTTTGTTGTTACCAAGCATTGTGTTTTATTCAATCTCACCTAATTCAGCTAGCTAGATGTTATCAAGAGTACTAAAACCCTTTTCAACATGAGTCTTACAACTAAGGCTAAATACTTTAACTTAAACTTAAATACATGCTCGGATAGGCTGGTATCGGCCAGTATCGGTATCGGATCGGAAGTCCAAAAACAATATCGGTATCGGATCGGAAGTGCAAAAACCTGGATCGGGACATCTCTACACAAGACCACTAGCAATAATATCTATATTAGCTGAGGTTACTCAGGGCATGTACTGTATGTCATGGGGGATTAATTGAAAAATGTTCTAGCTGTTTTGAAACTATGGTGTTTGGGTCAAGGGTATGCAATGAGACCTGAAAAAAGAAAAAAAAGACAGACGCTTTAGCTCCTCAATATGCAAACTCCACTAGGCTTGAAAGAGCTGTCTTTTTATGTTCCTGTTTATAACTCCCTAATTAAATCCATTTGCTGTAAAAACCCAGCAAAGGGTGGATTGATTTTTAAATAAACTCGGGGCGGCTTTAAGCAGCTTTGGCTTTTAACAAGTTATTTGAAATGTCCCGTCCTTGCGAGGCCTGATCAAAGGAGCTTGGTACAGCAGCGAGGCATAGAACACAAAACATGTGACTGACAGGCCAAACCCTGCAAAGCACTGAAAAGTGAAAAAACAACATGAATAAATATTTAAAGACTCTGAATTTTAAATCAAACACTACATATGCACACTTGCTGGATTAGGGTTCTTTTGTTTTCAGAGGACTCTGCAATGTCAGCCAGGTGAGAGGAATGCAAAAATCCGATTATATATTAATGTTGAACCATGAGTGAGCTGAATTTGAACGTTTACTTATTTCTTTAATTTTTACTTTTGATGGGACTTTGTTTACAAGGAGAAATGACAAGGGAATTTCCTAAGGTGTTAGGCATTAAGCATAACCAGATATAATCCCAAAGAACCCGTTAAAGTTTTGATCTGTTCACTGTTAATGAAGACTGTTTCCAGACAACACAGTTTATTTCATGGTCTGACCTTTTTTTTCTTTTTTCCTCCAGGAACAGCCTTACCTTTAGGAATCCCAGCGGATTACAAGAGATTCACTTCTTCAATACACTCTGACTCCAGACTTTTCACATACAGGGCCTTACAAATCTAAACATATCTCTTTTTTTCTCATGAGATTAGATTAGAAAATTTGCATTGTCTATAAGTCTGCTTCTACCTTAAAATATTGCCCAACTTTATACACTAAAAACTGACTTTTTGGTTCTGCAAATAATGCCTTGGTTTTTATTTAAAATATATTGCAAATTACCATTTTGTGCCTTTACATCCAAAATTATACCTGTTATCCTTGGTGTTACTTAGAGTTAATCTGTAAAACTGTTTCAATCAACAGACAAGTACTTTTAATTAATCTAAAACAGAGTGTTAACAAAGGTATTTCAATGAATTCCAAACTTAACAGATGTAACTAAAATGTACTTGAATATCGAGGGTGTTTATTTTCCTTTGCTGGACAATGTTTAGGTGAGAGATGAAAAATATTGTGTACCTGTTGGCTGCACGGTGCTGCAGTTTGTAGCACCGTTGCCTCGCAATAAGAAGATTCAATCCCCACCCCAGAGTCTTTCATGTTTTCCCTGTACATATATGGGTTCTCTCTGGGTACTCCAGCTTCCTCCCACAGTCAAAAAACATCACTCTTAAGAAATCTGGCATCTCTAGATATTCGCTGTTTGGTTGTTTGTCCCGACTCTTACCCCAAAACTGCTGGCACTGTGACCTTGACGGAATAAGTGGGAGAAAATTGAATTTCTTGTTTGTGTCAATCAGTGACTGACTGTTCTCACTTTCAGTTAGAAATTATTGTTTTAATATAGCTCAAGCTTGATTTGCACAGTTACATATACATATTCTCTGTATGGTTTAAAACTGTTTTGGGTTTGTTGATTTTTTTGCTCCTTTAAATTGAAATAAAGTTTGTAATTATTTATTTTATTAAGTTTTATTCAATGAGTTGTATATATTGAAAATGAAAAATAAATGAAAATAGCAAATAGTTGAAATTTAGATTAGTTAGATAAAATTAACTTGGCAAAGAAAAATCATAATTTTTTAGTTATGTTTTAGAATTGAAAAAAAATATGAATTAAGTAAAATTTACTAGCAAAAAAAGGTGCATATTTTGTTAAAATTTGGTAGTAAAATTTACTGGAGTCTTTTTTCTTCTTAGTAAGAAAAATCAACTTAGATTTTATTGAATAAAATTTACAAAGAACTTCTATGTGGAAAAAGTTACCTGTCTTTTGTAAGTAAATGGTACAAATAATACATTTTTTTTCAATGTATGAACAGACAGACAGATGCATGTTATTTAGGTTTGTGGTGGTAACTCCAAGGATGTCTAAACCTTTAGGCACCTTTGGCTGAAACTTTGCTAAAAAGAAAAGTATTTTAAAATAGAAAACAAAAAAAGGGCAAAGTTAGAGTCAGGTTTATGTATTAATCAAAGGATAAAATCTAACTAGCTTCTAAATAATAAACAATTATCATTAATGTTCATGAGTTTTACAGACACAGTAATGTTTCACCAAGCTAGGTTAGTACCCTCTAGCATAAAGACTCCTTTAGTCTGAATGCTATTACAGCACATTGTCAGCATTTCATTTTAATATTCAAAATTTTGGTACATCAAGCAAATATATGACCAACGAGCTTTAAAAATCATATAAATAGCCTGACTGTGCCTACAAAATAAAAATGAAGACTTCAGTGTTGGACTTAATTAACTATAACTTACAAGATCAATTAAACAATTAAAGGAGATAGTAACTGATTCAACTGATTAGTTCATAAAAGTTATATTTCTACTATTGATCTGATGTTCATGCATCAGAATAAAGGACATGAAGTGAATTTACTCAGCTTTCACTTGTTATTATCAACAGAGGACAGATGTTGTTGAGTGGGTGTTTTATTCATGGTGATAAACCACAAACCCAACAAGTATTCACTGATGGCCCAGAGGTGCTCAGCCTGTTTTTCATGTAAAATCCCCACAAAGGCGGTTAACAACCAGAACAAATGAGATCCTCATTTCACAGTCAAATCTCCGGATACTGAGACTAAACTCTAGACCAACTGACACTCCCGACACTGTCCCTCTTTTATTTCAGTATTGCAAGTGTGTTTTCAGTCATTTTCGCTCAATTCTCTTATTGTTCTTGTAAATTATGATGTTATGATAACATGATAAACTGTCACTTGGATATTACCAGTACTCTCCCTCATGGTCTTCTTGAAGATGAAGATTTTAGTTTGAAATGCAAACCCACATTCAGCTTCCTGCAAGATCTGAGTTATTGTGTAATATAAAAATTTACATGTGAGAGAAACTCTTCATGCAGATCATTTTTCTTTTCTTATAAAGAAAGTTAAATCTTTCCCTCAGTTGTTTAAGCTCCATTATTAATATAGGAAGTTGCAGTGTTATTGGAACAATGAATAAAATGCTACTCTTCACTACTTTGTTCTGTGACCCTTTAAGAGAATGCATATATTTCATATATTTTCAACATAAGAACCAAAAACCGTGCATTCATCAAGTTTTTTTTTTTTTTTTTTTTTTTTTTTTACAGTTGGTGGCAAGCCAACAAAAAGTCAGTCATAGTTGTGGTTTTATTCTAAAAATAACAATATGTAGGTGTGGCTTGCGTTTTTAACACCCAACCCCCCGATCCCGCCAGATAAAGTCTTATGCAATTCAATCTATTTATAGATGTAGCTGTTCTGTGAATGGCATGAGGGTATATTATAGATTATTAGTCAACAAATGACACCATTAGGACTAAGAAAAAAAAGTTTATGGATGAACTTGTTAATTTATTTCAATGCAGCCATAAACTGACAGCTTTCCTTCAGTAGCACAACTAGAAAACCTCCAAAACATGGTCTTTATACACTGACAGAGCTGGCAGGATTGTTAATTAGAGGATCAGCCAAGAGGTTAATGGTAACTCTGCAGGAGCAACATATATCCACAGTTCCAAATGGACATATATTGTATAGGAGGGTGGCAAGAAAAAAACAATTATTGGAAAAAACCCATAAAAGTAAATTACAATTTTGGTTTGCCACAACTCATGAAGTGGACATGACAACCCTCTGGCAGAAGTTGCTCTATTAGAGTGGCCTAGTCAAAGTTAAAACCTAAATTCAATTGATGTTTCTCAGTGCATTCACCTGACTGAAACTGCTGCTTATACAAAATAAGTTGTAAATATTTCACTCTGATTGTGCTATGATTATAAAGTAAGGCGAGGTCAGATCATTTATAAAGTATCCAAAAACAATCCACACACAAACCTTTTTAAACCACAAAGATAAACTATATTGTTTCTTTTTTTATTTTATTTGATGAATCACTCAGGGTAGTGTATGGCTGTGAGATGGAAGGAAAATCATACATGTTTTGTTTTTCTTTTCATCTGATACCCCCGAATGAAATCCGGGGTGAGCATTTGTTTAAAACCATTTTTGAATAACATATTAACAAAATGTGCAAATTTCAGATAAACGCACTGTTCTTTGCTTCAGTTCAAAGTGCTGCAGTATATGCAGCAAAGTGTCTATAATAACTGCTTTTAAACTTTAGAGTTCCCACCAGTGGATGTATTATATCAAATGCATTTCATACATTTTTAATCCCCTCATCCAAAACCCCACAGGCACATCAGATATGCAGACTTTATTTTATTTATTTTTCCTGGAGAACATTCTGTAAGGTAGAAGCTCTAAAATTAATCTGGTTAGAGGCGAAGATAAAGATTTGAATCCACTTTGGGGAGATGTGTTTTTCTGGCTTCAGTGGATCTCCTCCTATCACTTCATAAAAGGTCATATTTAATCTGTGTAATTATTGTCAGGCAATTTTGATGCAGCCGCCTCCTGAATCTAAGTGCTTCAGGGTGCACCTACGCAGCTTTTAAAAACATTCCTTGTTAAAGCAACAGCATCTCAGGAAAAAAAAAAAAAAATTTCTTTCTGGTCGCTTTCAGAATCTGAGATTACTTTCTGGCTCACCAGCAGCTGTGAATATCTTTTGAATGAAGAAATGGCTAAGAGGGGCACTCAGCTAAGCCATAGGCATTATATAAGGTAGGTTTTATTTTCTGACTGTATGATAATATTAAAGTTTGTTAAATTAAACTAGTATGATGGATTTCTTTTCCGTATCGTACAAAAAGCACCACTCTGCAACACAAAATCTCTGTTTGTCTGTTCCCATCTATCTGCGCATGGAGGGTTTCCCTATTTTTAGAAGGGAACAGGTGTTGACAATCCTCCTCTACTAAAGGTTGAGAAGAAGGGAAACATGTCTATGCCTCCAATCTGTCATCTAAACTATTGGGTGACACTCAAAACCATCTACATCAGCGCTCAACAATCAGCCCAGAGCCTCGGTGGGACACAATGTTTGACAATTCAGGAATCACTCCGATTTCCTGAAAGACAACCACTTCTATCCCTCTTTATGATACTCTGCTTACTTAGACTATACATATGCAGACAGCATACAACCATTAAGGTTTAGTGTTTATGTACAGATCAAACTGGTATCACGTGCAAGTGTGATGAAGTGGTGTGGTACTGAACAAACATCACATGCATTCACTGACTGCTTTCAGCCTTCTCTACATGCACCTGTCGGTGGAAATCTAAGACAGGCAAATGCAAACACTGTCACAGAAAATACTAAAATAGATGTTTTAAGCTGCCCCTTTAAGGTTGAAGGTAAGGACCCCTTTGTGTGTTGTGAAAAAATGTGGGGGCTTTCACAGGAACCCTTTTGGAAACAGGTTAATTGAGTACATATATCCTCTATTGTGCTGAAAAATTGTGCTAAATCTCTTTTGCATGTATTGTCAGGCACATTAATCTTATAGTATCTCACAGTTAATGATTTAGAAAAACAAAACCTTTGATGGAAACAAACCTGTCCAAGGAGTAAGAAATCTCTCATTAAGAATGCACATTAACTTGCAAAAAATTCAGACTTTTTATTTTATTTTTATCGTGTACACCATTTGTTTTTTATCTGCTAAAGAACTGTAAAAAAAAATGCAATATCTTAGAATCAGAGTCAAAATCAGAATCAGGCCAAGTAGGTTTGCCATTAAAAGGGATTTGACCTATTTGATGAGACAAATTAGATATATATATATATATATGCAGAATACAGATTCTATAGCTATATACAATATAAAACATTAAATATATTATATAAAATATATAGTACATAGCTATATACTATATACACAGTAGACTGTGCCATAATGTAACACAGGAGGTCTGGAGATACTACGTTGGTGTAGCTTAAAGCTCCTGAAGGGGGGAGGGAGAGAAGCAGTGTCAAGTGTCACAAGGGTCTCTGGGTCTTGTTGTTAAGGCTGGTAGCAGATGGGAAGAAACTGTTTTGGTGGCGTAAGGTTTTGGCCCTGATGGACCGCAACTTCCTGCCAGAGGGAAGTGACTGAAATAGTTTCTGGCTGGGGTGCGTGTGATCAGCCACGATCTTCCTTGCATGCTTCAGAGTCCGGTATACAGATCCTGGAAAGATGGAAGATTGCAGCCAATCACCATCTCTGCAGACCGGATGACATGATGCAGTCTGCCTTTGTCCTTGGCGGTGGCACCAGCGTACCAGATGGTGATGGAGGAGGTGACGATGGACTCAATGAGGGAGGAGTAGAAGTGCACCATCATTGTCCTTGGCAGTTTGAAATGTTTCAGCTGCCACAGGAAGTATATCCTCTGCTGGGCTTTCTTGGTGAGGGTGTTGATGTTCAGCTCCCACTTTAGGTCCAGGAGTGTCAATTGTGGGGTCACAGAG